ATATTTTTCTTATTTTGTTGATTATCATGGTTATGTGGTTCATGAGACGTACATGGAGAATAAATAGAAAAAGTGATCAGTTATGGGATACGTAGACGAGATATTAGGAACTATCCATTTAAACTTCGATATTTTTTATGTATGAAAATATAATACCTTTTTAACCATGCCTAATATTTGTTGCAGTTGTAAAGAAGTATCATTATTATTATATGCAGATTGCATTATTATACGATTCTTTATGGTGGTTGGAATGAGATTTCGTGGTAGTCATAAATTTAAGAAATCAGATATCATCACTCTTGAACCAGAACCTTCTAATATACATAATATAAATACAATAAAAGTTATTGTAGATAGTATCCATAAAGCCTATGTGGCAAAGAATGAAAATGAAAGTATTGGAGATTTAATGAAACGATATCCAACTTATCAGGTAAATGCTCATAGAAAGAAAAACTATAATCAATCAGCATTTTTAAATCTTGAATATCCTTGAATGGTTTGTAGGAGATGTCATGATATGCTTCAGGCGTCAAGGAATTATAGATATGATTATTAATACATTATATTTGAACTTGAGTATTATTTATATATGAAAAAAATATTATTAATATTGTATAAGTATTACTAATATAAAGATATATTTATATTGAACTGACTGCCCTCTTCCATGTATTTAAAAATCGTTAAGTGCTAGTTGATCGGTTTTCATTATATTGGGTATAATAGGTTGCTCAACAACTATCTCATTTTTTCTCATGGTTTCAGGTCGTTCAATCTTATCTGAGATGGATACGTGTTCTTTATATCACATATGATATACTAAATGATAGAAAAAGGTATCATATTTCTCGATAAATAGGATAAATGCATTTAGACATTTTGTAAAGTCAGAGCATATAGATTTTTTGTCTCAGTACTTATTGAGAGATTATCATTCTCGGTATATGCTCTGGCATATTCTACAAACTTTTCTCATAATCTCTCTATGAAATCATTTCCCTTAAAATCTTCAAAGATTGACTAATCTCTATAAAATATTTCATATGTGTTACCTACTTTCTGATTTAATAAAGATTGTGCAGTTTTGATTACATTTTTGTAAACGTATTTGTAAGCATACCCACAAGCAAGCATCATTTTATTCGTAATTCCATTTAAGCTATTTACATACTCCTCTAACTATTTCTTTGCCTTTTTCTAAGAATATTCATCAATCTGTTTATATCTTTCATCTGAGATCATAATCTTCATAATCTTATCAGAGGGTGGTGGTTGGTATCTATCATCATAATTGATAAATCTAACACAAAAGCTGATAATTTTATTTTGAAGATAATATGATAGGTCCACCTTCTTTTCAAGATTTTTCGCAACATCAACAAATTCTATTCGATCGCTCTTGGTTAAGTGAAGTTTTTTATCAGATAAATCAAAATCTTTATCAGTCTTGGATATTACATAACTGAAATGCTCACCTGGTTCAGGAATCTTATTTTTATATATTTTTCTCATTCATTCTATGAACCGTTGAATAGTTAAATTTTGTACATTGGGCTTTCATGTATCAGTTTGGATAAATTGGTCAAATTTCTACTGTTTAGAATTTGTCACAGCATCTTTAAGAATGTCTTCAACAATTTTATGAAGTAATTGATCATTCTCCCCATCATTAACTTCTATAGCTTTCTACATAATTCGTTCACCAATAGCTATAAAGGGTTTTGACTGCCTCTGCTTCACAGTATCGATCCCTTTAATAAATAATTTTTTTGGCTTAAAGTTTGAAATATCTTTATGTGGTATTCCGAAATATTTCTTTTTACCAGTAAAAATGACAGGAAATAATACCTTTTCATAAGCCATTTTGAGATAAGTTGATCTACTTTTTATCTTAAGATAGGTATTCACTTCATTGTATAATTTTTTTATTGTTTCTATTGTGATTTTAACTATTTCAGTCTAATATTCTAGTGTTGAGATCGTACCTTTACTATTATTATAAGTGAGATCATATTTTTTATAATATTTATCAGGACAGGTGAGATATAAAGAATCAGTATCACCATATTTGATTCCAAAACCTTTCTTACTTACATAATCTGTGACAAGTTTGATATTGATCTGACCTGCTGAAATAACAGCTCCTGCAAGCTAACGTAGAAAGAATGGAGAAAGACTATTACTCGCCTCACCGTAAAATGTATTCATATATATTTTTACCACTTTTTGTTTTGAATCCAAGCAAGTGTGATCAAAACAGATGAAATTATATTTTTTTATAAAATTCTCATAGGTTTTATTTATAAAAGGAATTAAAATTCCAGCTATATCAGCATGATTTTTTTTTGATATGAAAGCACCCTCATTCTGTGAGTCTTTCTCATTTTTTAGGATATAATCAATAGAATCTGTTAGTGAAAAACTCTTCTCTTTCATTTTGCTAATTACCAATTCCATATCCTCCTTTTTCTTAGCCAGAATTCCAAGACTTGATTTCATTTTATTTTGCTTATCCAATAATTTTTCCAGAACTAATAGATATAAACCTTTATTTTCAGATTTGTTTTTATGCAATACTGACCAAGCTTGTAGATTTTGATCATTAAATGGAAATTCGATTTTATGGAGCCATGTTCCTTTTTGTTGTAGATTAACAGCTTCCCTTTTCTCTAGTATCATTTTTTCAGATGAAAAGTTGTAAGACATGATAATAGATGGATATAATGATACAAAATCTAAACCTGTAACTGGACGTTTATTAATGAAGCTTTTTACAGGAGGAAATACATGAATGCCAGGATATTTCCCAGATTCTATATCTTTACATGGTATCATACTAATCAATATATTCTCCTTCTAGGCTTCAGCACCTAAGAGATTATATACTTTCATTCTATTTGCACGGTAGTGTGCATCTAATAGAGAAACGTAAGCAATCGATACAACTTCTCTATTATCATTTATCACATTTCGTTTAACAAGAAGTTGTTGACATTGTAGGACATTGTTAATACAGTATTCTGCTACTTTACGCATATTTTTTGCAAATGAGATAGAATCTCAAGACTTTGTCTCTTCTATAGAATAACCTTGTTTTGCTATTTCGTAATAATCCTACATACGTTTTATTGACATATCAATTTTACCTCTGAGATCACACATTTTTAAATAAAACTTGAGTAAGCTTCCTTTTTGCACTTCAGATTGTGAATATAGTTTTTTGAAACTTGCACGAATGTCAATTAGAATACATCTTGGCAACTTCAGAAAAGAAGAAATAAAGAACTCTTCTGGACTTATCTTAATTTTTACTGCTAGCTGACTAAAATCTTCTTCATATTTATTTTTTTTAACTACTTTATGACTGTTTCCAGCAATATTTGAAGAACATCTCATAGAACCTGGGCTTTTCACTATATTTCCATAATAATTCCAACGTAAAATTTGTTTGTTTGTACTTTGTCGTGAGTTTGCAGACATTTGTAATCATATCCATTCAAGAATATATAGTTGGTTAGCCTTCTCTACGATGAAAAGCCAATCATAGTCCGAATCATTGAAACTTATTACAATATTTGGTGCTAGTGCTCGCCAACATAGTGCAAATGCCTTTAATAAATTTGTTTGATTTCCACATATGATTGTGATCCAATTTGGGTCTGGCTCAGTTTCTATATCGACAAGACAGATTTGCTTCAGTGGAGTAGAGTCGTCTTTCCAGTGAACTGTCATACAAATCATAAATACATTATTCTCTGAATGCCATGGTCGAGGTAATTGATCTATCCCACATTCTGTGTGAGTTTCTATATCCCACGTTAGTACTAGAGTGCGATCATGAATCATATATGAAGTTGGAAATAAATTGCTTATTTTATCTAAGTCTTTTATAAAATGAAAATTTTTTACAGATACTCTAAATGCATATAAACAAAGAGAAGAACTTTTACTATAACTGTAATTGCTTATTACCCCCCATCTTGTAAGAGAAATTCGGTATTCACGAGCAACTTTGCGGTAATATGTACTACGATCATCTGATGCAATTTCCAGATTATGCTTTTGGATGATATTTAAAGCTATCTTTCTTTAGAAAGTGTTTGTCGTATAAATTCGTAGATATGACTTTTTTTTGTATGATAACCACGAATTGGAAATGCTTTTATATACTCTATTCTGATTTTATCTATATCTACAGTTTTCTCCTTGTCATCCTTTTCATTGATAAGAATATTTTTTATTTCACTTTTAAACAAATATATATCTTTATTGTCAGGAATTCGGATATTAAAGAAAACTTTAATGCCAGG